CTATACACGGGAACAGACTCCGTGCTTCTTGCGGCTGCAAATGCGTGGCAGCTTTGTTTCTGAAACAGAAACTGTTACAGCTATATCGCCGCAATTGGTCCGGGCGTTGTCAGGGGCATGATGAGAGCCCATTTCCGGCGTTTTTACCACACGTTTTCTTCCTTAACCGATCACTATTGGTGGAAAATGCAACCGAGTGTGTGCCCAGTACATGCCCAGTGACTCCACGCTGACTGACTAGACGATACCAACTACAGCACGTCGATATAGAAAGCATAAATTTTTCAACCCAGAGATTTAATTTTTGGTTGCTGAAGCGCAGTTTGGAGCACTTCGGCTTGGAGGGGGCATTTTGCTGGTTCCATCGGTCACTATTGATGTCTGCTTCGGAGCTCTACTAATCCTTGTCTAACTATACAATGGCCTGAGCTCCGTTTACAATTGACAAGAGTCTACAGGTCTTACCGAGACGAGACTAGTAATCTACCAGGAACTAGCAAAAGAAACTAGCGAAAATGCCAAATGCCTCCTCCTAGCCGACAGTGTCTCATTTTGTCTAATTTTTCGACAGTGTCTAATTTTACCAACTAATAATAGGAACAAGAACAAGACGGGAGAAGTGAATAATCGATACCTGCTCTCTGATCCATGTCGGTAGGGGGCTACGAATATCCCAGCAAACCTCGGATTGGTGATAAATGTTCTGAATTTGAGGGCTAAGCTGTAGTCAGTTCCCGGTTGTAGATCAACAGACGTGAAAATATCCAGCAACTGTGGATGTTCTTCGGAAATCTGAATGCAGACATACTTAAAGTGTTATTCACTACACACACTCTTTATCCTGGAGATGAAGTGGGCGTGGTTGCGTACTTCATTTGAACATGGCGTAGGATGCGCTCAGATTTCCATTTTGAACAACTACCATCCTGCAACCAAGACATGTTTACAGTCGCCCTGGACGGTAGTACCCCACCGAAAGCGCACCCGCAGCCACGCCCCCGCTATATTCGGGATATGGAGGGTAAGTCTGAACACGGACGTTTCTTGTTCTGGAATAAAATGATTGGCTAGACTACTAATAGGAAACCA